ATGATATTAATAATAATAATGTCCTGCAATATAAATCAGTTTGGCAGCATTAACTGCAGCCTGGTTTGATATTATTAAAAGTTTGACCTGCAAGTTCCTATAAGACAAGAGCCGTCACACACAGCCATGTCGACTCGACGAGTAAATAAAACTGCTTCATATTGTTTTGGACTCTTTGAATGTTTTCATATCGACCTGAAACTTAGTCGACTTATCAACAAGAAGTGAAGGAACCAGGAAATATAAAACGAAGAGTTGTTTTTTCCACATTGTTGTAGCTTCGAAGCAAAATTAGATTTTCTTTTGAGGAATAATTTTAATTGAATGTGTTAAATCGTGTTTCTGTGATAGTGTTTCAGTTATAATGCATTAAATAGAGTTGTGTAAAAATCAGGTAGACACATCTGCATTAATTGGATGTGTGTTTCCTTTAGGGGTGGCGGAGCAGTTTGCCATCGCTGAGGCTAAGCTGCGAGCTTGGGCGTCTATGGATGACGACGACGAGGAAGACTCCAATGATGAAGATTCCCCCAGCGGTGGACAGACTCACTCCTTCTTCTTCCAGAGCTCAGGTATCTGCCGTCTAATACATTTTTTCTCATTTCCTCTCATTTCACTCATTTTGTGAGCCATCACTGACCAAACACCTCATCTTCCCACCCCCCCCATCCATCCATCCATCATCCATCCATCATCCATCATCCATCATCCATCCATCATCCATCACCCCCCCCCCATCATCCATCCATCCTCCAGGTGTTCTGACTCTTTGCTCCTCTCTCAGACGCCGCCACATCCAATCCTATTACCGCACCCCCTTGCCAGCCTGAGGGGGGCGGCAGTGAGGCGCCACCCTCCGACAGTCCCCTGGGCTCCAGCAGCAGCAGCCTGCTCTGTGATCGGCCTGCATCTCACAGTGACCCACATTCATCCCAGACCACCTCACCCACTTTACCCAGCGACCGCATGAGTCCGTCCCAGGAGGAAGAGGAGAGGATGGGTGGTCACGGGGAGCAGCCGACTCCTTCGCAGGAGCAGTGCAGTGAGGTCTGCATCCACCACAAGCCAGAGTGGAGGCCTCGGGGCCGGAGTGGCAGGTTCGACTCCTGCTACTCCACCTCGCACTCTGAGTCTCCTGGAGAGGAGGATGAAGAGGACGAGGACGAGGAGGGAAGCGTGTTCCACGAGGCAAAGGTATGGCACTGCAGCCCGAGGAGCTTCTTCTCGGACCGCGCCTCCTCTGGGGTGGCCTCGTTCGACGAGGAGGAGGAGGAGAGGGAGGACGCGGAGGAGAAAAAAGAAGAAAAAGAGTATTTTATGTGATGTGTTGTCCATCTTTATGTCTCTTTGAGTCCGTGTTGATTCTGGATATGACATAATCTATTCTGCTTTCACTGTAAACCTCTCACCACCTCCTCCTCTTCCTCCTCCTCCTCCACTCACTGCCTTCTGTCTTGGCCTTCGGGCCTCTCATGTACTGATCTCACTCCAATGTTTACCACTGCTGTGATCATCAAAGTATATCTGAGAGGTCGAACCAGAATGTAAAGCTGTTGTTCAAAATGAGTTTTGTACATTTTATTGTGAAGAGTCATGTGTTGCTATTTGCATTTTCTATGGATATTTTGTAGTGTTGTTTTATTCTGGGTCACGCTCTGTCATGTGGGTCGGGCTATGTTTGATACTGAATGTCTGAATGTCCTGCGTACACATATATATATAAATAAATATAAATATGATTCTTTTTGACAGAAAATTCTTGCCCCCCCCCCACACAAACACTTTAATCTCTTAAAGGTGTTTTTTCTTTCAATTTAATCATTCACTCATGTACAAAAAACAATTTCATGTTCTCTGAAAAGTAACAATGGCTGTTGGAATTTCAAATGCATAATTCTCTTCTGTACAGAGCGTGTATGTAGCTCTCATCCGTGTATTTTCATATGTACAAAGCATATACAGGCCAGTGCCATATAAAGGGAGATACTACAGACTTATTGCTTAACTAGATACGCTGCAAATGAGCTTATACACTCTCTACATTTAAATCCTTATACGTTGTCTTATATGACGAGCACTACTTCACATTCCATATGCAAACTAAAGAGTTAAGACGTTAATAGAATCGTAGCACAAACACAAGACAAAGAAAATATGAGCCCGAGTCGGGATGTTGCCACGTAACATTTTAAATATGGCTCGAAATCATCGTGCGAAGCTAAAACCCATTTGAAGGTCGTGACACAGACTCACACACGTACAACAGTTTTTGGACTTGTGCTTCGTACAGCAGTTAAGTTTCTCATCACTGCTTTAGAGGCCAGGCTGAATTCAATTTGTCATAAAGATATGTGTACCATATCATGGTGGGAAATATCTACAGGCCGCATACAGTACATGTGTGCATATAAGTGTGTGTGTGTGTGTGTGTGTGCTCTGTACAACAGCCAGTAGCTTCCTGTCACATGGAGCTCAACAGATGTTCCTTTATCATGCTAGAAACACGTTAAATTCATGTAGCGATTACATGTATGGACAGTTCAGCTGACTGACGGTCTACATGTGCCCTTAGCAAACCAGCCCCTATAGAGACAGACAAGGCTACATGTGCAGTAAATTATATTCATGATAATTACAATGTGCTTCAGCTTTAATCGGAGCCCTGAATGAAAAGAGGTGGACCTTTGAAAGCAGCTGCCTTTGTCGTCATGTGAACAGATACCAATGGTGGATTTTTGGGGCTGATATCTTAAGCTGCTTTCAGACATGCACTGAACTCCGGATAATCTCCTCACATTCTCCGGAGGGGCTGAATGAGAGAACGCAAAAGTCAGAGTGAGCGGCTCCAGACTTTTCCCCGGCCAGAACTCTGGAAACATGTCACCAAATGTCACATAATGGAAAAAATACAAATATCTCAGGATGAAAAAGCGGTGTCTTACACTTAGAGGACACCGACAAAGATGTCAAGAGAGCGGAGTCGATGTGCTGTAAACAAAAACACATGAGCTCCGCAGCAGAATTAAAACATTACGTCCTACTTCTTCCACCCCCTCGCCTGAATGGAGAAACTCTGGACCCAATTGTGTGGACGTTCTCCGGAGTTCATGTCTGAAAACGACTAGATAGTAAATGCTATGACGTTGTAACTGCAGATTGTTGCAAACAAACTAACAATGACACTTGCTTTTACAGCATTATTACTGTATATATATTAACATTATTGGTCAACAACCCTTTGGTTAACCAGTCCAGTGCTGTGAATAGGCAGACGTTTATATTCATACCATCATGTGCTCATTAAGATCGTTTTCCACGTCTTTGTTCTTCTGTGCTTTCTCCTCTTGTTAGTTGCCCCTGTCGTTCATTGCCCGCCGATATTTGCATGTGACTTATGTCATGTGTTAAAGGAACTTTGTTTGGCGAAGCTCCAATTATGTGTCTGGACCAGATTTGAGCATGGCAAGGAAGGTGTCTCTCTCTCTCACTCACACTCACACACACACACACACAGAAAAAA